ATACATATATATACATATATATACATATATATACATATATATACATACATATATATATACATATATATATACATATATATATACATACATATATATATACATATATATATACATACATATATATATACATATATACATACATACATACATACATACATACATACATACATACATATATATATATATATACACACACACACATATACACATACACATATATATATATATACACATACAACAAAGAGTATGATTAACATCTTTTTCTATGCACTATGTTTGATGAATCATTTTAAAAGTTCAAGGCACAGAATACGTTCAACTGAAGATAATATGGTATATATGCCATGGGGTATAATTCATACTGAGAATCAATACACATCTAAAGCCAAAACCACTGGATACACATTGGAAAAGAAGCCAACTGGAAGAGGTAAACATATATCGGGCCTGCATAGCGTTAGTTTATCATAGCCTAGTCTGAAGTAAACGAAGACGCAAGGCCGCTATTCTAATCTCTTAACAAAGTCTATAAAAGAATACTCAACAGTACTCTGATTTACTGTGGCGACCTGCCTGACAAGTAGCGTTATGAAGTACAGCGTACAGACGATATGAAGAACGGTCCGGTGAGTAGTAACGTTGCGCACCCCCACCCAGAGAAAGAGAGAGAGATACAGACCGATATAACGTTAACGGTACACGAGTCCTCAGACAGCAGTAACAGAGCTTTAAGAGCCGCTCTATGTTGATTTAACTGAGCAGTCATAACATACGAGACATTATTTCAGTGGCATTAGCCCTGGTATGTAGCAAGCTAATGTAACGTCAAGTAACCTCGAGAATGTGCTAACTAGCTTAGCAAACGTGAACATAACACAACTTGTTTAGCTCTCTTTAAACTTAGTCAAACACATAACAACTATCACACATTAGTTTGAGAGTCTAACGTTTCAGGGCGTTGTTTCGTCTTTAAAACGTGACTTTATGAGCCATCGTATTCTACCTCTTAACGGTTAGCAACGTTACTTCACCCTTCCTCCTCTTCCTCCATTCCAGAAACTTTTTGAACTTCTCACCACTGCGGCTAAGCTATGCTAGCCGTTAGCCCAGCGTACTGATGTACGTTACGTTAGCTCACCGGAGTTCACGTCCACTCTTTTAATGAAACTATTAAATGCTCGCCGAATCACATACCTCTTAGTAATGCACACAGGCTATGGCAAGTGAGTTTTGCTGTAGTTCCTACTCTTACAGATTTTCTCCCGTTTTCCACCGTTTCTTTCCTCCGCCTCTCCGTGCCATGTCCTCCAGATCCTGGACACAAGTAGACTGGGGAGGCGCAGTGCATATCACTCCGCCTCCCTAACAAACTAGTACTCGCTTTGGCGTTACAGCTGAGGACAATTCGGTTTCTTATTGCCTAAAAAGTACTACGACGACAAACCGTACAACTCAGTTATATTTTATACAAAAGCAGTACATTCAATTTCTAACCTTTCCAAACATCAATTCGCTTTCCTCGCGCAGAGATAAGGGAATATTCCGACTGAACAAACTTTTTAACACCTTTGACAGTTATGTCGATTATTACGGTCATTGGCGCCAAACACAACATCAGCAGCTGCACCTGAAGCAAATCACGCATCAGTGCTGGTCTTTATAAACGTGTGTGATGTGTCCGTGTGTGAAGTTGTACTTCTTACGGTGGTCGTGCTGCGGCTCTGGAACGTCTCACAAGTTGCTGGCTCCACTCAGTCTGGAGCATTGCGGTTTGTTGTGTATGGTCGTCCTTTGTAGTCACTTGTTCTGCGCTTCAACACTCCCCCGCGTTATCAACCTATTTCACTTTAATCACGCATACTAATAATTACTATTCCGCAGACGGGCCGCTACTCTCTCTTATGTCTGGCAGCAGTGTTGGGAGTGCGGACTCTCCATTCAGTCGTCAAAGTCTAAATGAATTGCGGTGTCCGTGTTCAACCGCTAGTGGGCGACGTACACCCAGCTCTGGGCTGTTAAAGGTACACCATCAGACATCCCAATTCTACTGGTACAGTTACAATACTATAACTTTATTCTAATGATTCTGTGTCTGAAGTGGTTGAACCTCTCACCTCATGCATGCACAGATGTTAACATTCGTGATTAACAGGCTGAACCAGACTTCCATTCAATTAAATCCATTTTTAGCGAGGTAATATGCTTCCTGCATTGACACTCATAGTTGACAGTGAAAATGTGAACATTTCTGTTGATTTATGTTTTTTTCCTCATAAATTCTCACACTAGATCAAAAATGATTCTTGTACAAGATTTGTGTTCTCACATTCTTTACATGCTTTTCCAAACCTGCGTTTTTAATAAAAAAGAGGGCTGCACAAATGAATGGTGGGTTTGTCTGATGACTTCAGACCGTGTCATAACTTATGATATCAGTTCTTACAGGAACAACTACACGAGATGACACGCACCAGTTTATTTTGAAAGCTGGAGTCACTGCAATCAAGCAGTGTTATATACCACAGAGACACGGTCTCAGAATATTGTTTCAATGGGATGAATCCTTAAGGCGAGGTAGGCAACCTGGGCCGGGGGCCCCCACAACGCAAAGGGCCCCACACAGCTATGGATTTATTACGATGTTTGGATATGAAAAATATTGAATTATGTTACGGTTCTAACTCGTTGTACCATGAAATAACTTACAACAGGGCTCCAAGGCACCTAAAAATAAGCAACTCAGCAGTATGGCCAGCTACCAAGAACACTGTTTCATTACTATCCCCAATACAGTAGCCTCTGAATGTTGTGTTCAAATATGAGGAGAAGAATTGATGAGATGCTATTTTTATGACAACACATCAGAAGAGTTGTACTCTAGTACAGCAGTCGTATGTACTCACGTCTCCAAGAGTTTGTCATACAAAAAAAACAAAAAAAACCTTGTTTCAATTAATCATGTATTTTATTCATTTATGTGCAAAAATCAACTACTGTCTCAAACGCAAAATATGCAAAGACAACTTGTATTTACAGAGAAGCTGCAAACGGAGCACAACTCATCAGGTTAAGCTGTTCGGTCTCCATCGACGCACAGTTGAAAAGAAAAGGGTTCGTGTTCCACATGTGCGCAGTCGAGTCTGGTTTCGTGACAAACCCCCTCCTGGTGTCCACCATCAAGAGACTCACGAGGGATTACAATAGACGCATTTGTTTTTCTGACTAACGGTTTGTGGAGCTGTCGAGCATCTTGCTGCAATGTAATTAAACAAATGTCACTGAATGATTAATAAGTATTAATATTGAGTAATTGAACACCTTGAGTTATCACATTCCTAATTCGTTCACATGTTGCAACTCTTATGAGGAAGTAAACACTTTGTTTATATATATTATATAAGACGTATTTGCATCATCATACACATTCAGTATTGATTACATCCAGCTTTGTTATTTGTTGCTGCTAAGCCATTCGTCAGAGTGGCGTTCGGTTTACTACACATCCCAGAAATCACCTGGTTTGAGTGACAGGTGACCAGGTAGGTTTGGTTTGCAGTGTCTGTGGGTGACGGGAGACACGGTTTAAATGAATATAAAAGTATTACGATTAGAGTTTGAGTATTTTTTTAGGTGTCATCTTTTTCTTTGACTGTTCTGTGGTGTCTACGTCCTCTTCTTACTTAAACTGAAATATGAAATCACTTCCTGTTCACGAAGGATTCATTTCCTTAGTGTTGAGAACAGCCGGTGAGTAACACTTCAGTCATGAACTGTCGGGAAGTCGAGTCACTGCTGTATTTTTAACACAGAGCAGCAAAAAGGGACGTTGAGTTACAGATCATCAACTATCCGATGCCTCTGAACCGGAGTCAGACGGAGGCCCACTGTGGATGACCCACTGAGCACAAGCGGTTTAGGAAGACACCCTTCTATTAATGCTGGTTTATATGTTGCTGAAAACGTCTGCTTTAGCTTTTAAGATGAGCCTCTGCTGCACGAGCTGTGACCTGTGAGGTGTGAAAACCCTAAAGTTACTCAGTTATTCTAATCTGACCCGTCAGTTCCTGTTATACTGTGTGTGTGCCCGCTTATTCTCTGCATCATTTTGTCATTTCTTTAAAGCAATAAACGGCACACTTTGGCCCACCCACAGCTACAATTCACTCCGGGGACAAACACGCTGGAGAGAAATTGAGGAGGATTCCTGGTTTGTTTGTCAGATGATTTTTGTGAATCATACAAATAAATCACGAGTAGGTTACTAGTACCAACTTTAATTAAAAAAAAGAGATTAGCTGTACAGTGTAAAGAGGTTTTGGTGGATGAACTGAAAACACAGTCAAAGAAACGCAGTGCAATGCGAGCATTAAGGGACAGCCCTGTCTCTCGTCTTAGATATACAGTACCTCCTGTTTCAGAGAACCTCATTGCAGAACATCCACAGCTCTTCAGTAGAGAACGATCCATTTAAACGTGTGGTTCGGGTGCTGCCTGTAGTTCTCTAAAGCCATAACTTATTTTAGTTTTAGTATTTTAGTTTAGTTCTGCTGGTGTGAAAATGACCAAATCTACATAAACGATCTACTCCTAGTCATTACAGTGAGTGGATGTGATGCCCCGTACATGGTTCCAGATTTTATTCTCTCTCTCTCTCTCTCTCTCTCTCACAGGAAAAGGAATGTTAAGTTACATTACAGAAAGTGAACAGTGATTAAATCAGAGATCATGTGATCACAGGAAAGCATAACATCGCAAAAACACACTCGGATATTAAGAAGGAAAAAAGACTGCTGTGTCCCGTCCGCACACTTCAACAGCAGCAGAACACAGTTCTCAGATCAGTTTCCTCTTCACACACACGTGGCTCATTTCAGTGAGTGTCTTCTAACACTCTAACACACACACACTCTGCAGTGCAATCAGTGTACTTCTGATTCAGACTAATCGATGTGAAGAGCACTACGTGATGGGACAAAATAAAGGATATATATATATATACCTTGGGAGAGCAGCTTTGGAAGTTTACACCAGATTCATCTTGTTCTCATCCAGACTCACTCAATCTCAACTCATTCATTATAACTATGATTGATCAATCTCTTTAGTTCAGAGTAACTGCTTTGGATTTCACACAAGATTAAAGAAAGAAAAAAAAAATCACAACACTTAAAAAGAATTTGTCTCCTGAACACCAAAATGCCAGCAACCAATCAGAAACCAGTGGTGGTACATGAAGTGAAAGGTGTCTCCCTTTATGTTCCACCGATGTTGTATATTCTGCTATTATTCCCTGTATTTCAGAGCAATGGTCCACATTAACAGTTTGATGATTTAGCTTTACCCTAGCGGTTAGGATGTGTGACGTATAACACACATCCTCCGATCGACAATAACCAACATACTGATTAATGCAGCTTCTTAAATGAGAGAATTTCTATATCGTTCCATATTTTCCAGGCCGTTGTAGGAACACTGGAAGTACGATGAACATCATCATCAACCAGCTGATGAGAACAACTGGCCGTTTAGGAGCGGTCCGTCTGTGAAAAAGGCCGGTGTAGATCAGCTATTTGCTGAAATAATCATAGATAATTATATTTTAAATATTGTAGGGATGCATAAAGACCTGCTGTCCTTAATAATCCATTATACGTAGACGTCTGAGCTGAGGATGTCATGGTACCTGGCAATGATGTTGCTGTTCTGTGCTGTTGTTTTTGACATGTAAAAAAAAATAAAAAAATCTTTTAATAAAATCTAAGTGAAGAAGAAAGAAAGAAAAACAGCAGTTTAAAAACCAGATGTGCTACAATGGACCAATGAAGGGGAGTCATTGTCATTGTGTGTGTGTGCTTAATTATGTATCTATGAGCTCGACAGTGTTTTCAGCCGTTTTGAATGTCTCATTGGTGCACTATGTGATGGTCTATACAAATATCAGAAAATGCACATTACAGTTACGCAGTTCTTTCGATAGGTCCCACATTGGTAATGTGACTGCAGCGGGTGCTTTCTCCTCAGAGAGCATGCACTGACGGCGCTGCTGCTCGACGGCATGCTGGGTACTCGGGCGTAGACCGCTGTCAATCAAACGTAGGACTGAAGATCAATCAATCTGTGATGAGGATGATGAAGAAGAAACGATCCCGGGTCCACTGATTTGTCAAAATAATTTGGTCTAATATTCATTCCTTTTATATGGAAATCAGTTTCTTTGTTTGTCATCATGCAACAACTTAATTAAACTGAAGGGCAGAGCTGAAACTAAGGCGAGAGACTGGAGGCTGAGCCGGACTTCTTCTGCAGTTTGTTTGGTGATGCTTGATGTGTCAAACGGTGTGAGATGCTAACTGATCTCTTTAAGTCACAATGCATGAATGGTCGGCTATTATGGCAAATGAAGGCACTGGAAAAAAACAAACAAGTATTTTAATAGAATCGCCCCACTACATTGTACTGTAGTGGGGCGATACGCAACCGTTTCCCCGCAGCATCAGTCTCACATAACGGAAGAGCAACTACGTACATTTCCTTTTCATGAGGCAAAAAAAAAGCAAAGAAAAAAAAAAAGCTGGTGAGCTTTGACGTGAAGAGGACACGACGAGCGTCTCCTTCGGTGCTGGACACTATCTGTCCTGGTTGTCCGACCTGAGGCCACAGGGCGGGGCGTCCTCGGAGGGAGTGTCTAGGACCGGGTTGACGAACCCTTCAAACTCCGTGTCCGCATTGTCCTCCGGGTGGGTACCCACGAAATCGTTCTCCCACTCCAGCGCGTTGGAGTCCTCCGAGGCCGAGGTGGGGCCGCTGGTCACCTGCTTGCCGCCGGGCCTCAGGGCTGCTCGCAGGATGTCCTCCTCCGTCCGGGACCTCTCCCAGGCCGGGAGGCCGCGATTGATTCCTACAACGCAGGGACACGAGCTTTCATTGTGACGGCAGAGGTCAGGAAGTGCTGCAGGTAGTAAACCGAGATTTAACGCACTACGGTTCTTTAATGGAACCGACCTTAGATGCCATATATGTGTATACAGGATCTTTTCTTATGGTCAGAGCGGAATTGACTGTATATACTCGCACATAATACACAACTAACCCTTTATAAATCCCATTAAAATGAAATAGGGGTGCACATTGTGATATAAAGTGCATTTCAATAGACATAATTGACGTGAAGTTGTTTAAAATCTTTTCTTTCATATTTTTCTATCTGTCAGTAATTCTTGGTCCCAGCTGATCAGGAGGAAGTTTGAATAAGACGTCCCCACAGTCTCGTGAGAGGCCAAGATCAGAAGAACTTATAGCCAAACTTCCTGAAAAACAGAATTCTTCCCACACCGACTTGTTTTACACCTGGTGCTCAAACGCGTGGGTGAGACGTATACATTACACACTCTGCACAAACGGCCTCTTCCTCCCCCTCTTTGCCGCAGTGGCACTGATAAAGACCGAATCAATCTTGGCTGAGGAGCAAACGGAGCGCTGGTCTGGAGGACGAGAGAACGCTCCGGCTCGTTTCGAGATCGAACTCCCAATCCCAACGTTGAGAGAACGATTAGTGATTTGCGACGGACCTGAAACGAAACCCCCTCACCTTCCTCGTCCTCCCACTCCAGGTCCAGCGAGGTCCCGTCATCGTTGGTGGAGCGGGTCTTGGTGGTGAAGTCCCAGCTGCACTCGGTGTTGGGAGTCACCACGTTGGTGTCGGACGGCAGTCCTGGAAACAGAGAGCGGATTGTTACAACAGGACTCTTTAAGTGAGGGTGCAGTACGCTCTGAACCGTACGCATACATTTATACAGAGCCAACATAGGCGAGGGTGGACGGCTCACTTACTGTTGCCCCTGAAAGCGTCCGATTGGGCTTTTACATTCTGGAGGTAGACATCAAACTCCTCCCCGGGGTTTTGTCTGGAACAAACCAGGACCACGGTCAACATAACAACAACAGACGTGTAAAAAGCAGTCACTCACAGCTTTGACACGAAACACAGCGGGCCTGAATAACAAACACCCTCAAATCAGGATTTCCGTTGAGATTCAAAAAAGAAATATGTGAGATTCTATCTGCCAGATATAAACACGTGTAAATATCACACATCTGAGGTGCTGATAGATATCATACTACTTATTAAAAGGACTGATTTGCCAGATGCTGCTTTCCGAATGTCTCTTTGCAGCTGCCACGGAGTAAAGACTTTAAATACATCCAGCATTACGGTCTACTTAGTACAAATAATAAAATCTAGGTGGAGCCTCATGTCCTCAGCTACACAGCTCTCCTGTCGTCTAATGAACTTCAGTGACTCACTTTCTTTGCTGAGTCTCACCGCCAGTGCCATCTGCTTTCCCGCGTGTCCTCTGGGCAGGCAGCTGCCGACAGCAACAAAAAACACAGATCAAGTAAAAAAAAAAAAAA